TTTTATTCAGTTCAGAAAAATGAGGAATCCGCGTTAATTGATGAATATATCAGAGCATCTGTTCATCTACACCTGCAATGAAAAAAGGGGCTACTGTACATACATAAGTCTCTCTGCTTTTGTGAATGGCATGCTCCACTTCTCTTAAGCATCCTAACACCCCCCTCCTGCTGCTTCAAGTACTATCTCCAGTGCCACTGCCTTCAGGTGATCCATTTCTTGGTTGTTTAGTTGTACAATGAGAATACTTTTTTAAATGAAAGTAAACTTGACTGTCTTTACGACATTTTGATTGCTGTTAGTTTGACAAATTGGCGCTGTTGTTTTGATACGTGACGTACGTCACATGATTAGGTATCAAACGTTTCTCTCATTTTTTTAACAATCAAAATTTTATTAATGACTCACTTAAACTGTAAAACTGATTTGCAGTTTAGTTGTACTGTTTAATTATATTTTTGTGTTTTTAATTAAATTGCCCATGACTGTAATTTTAGGTGTGGAGATTTTTTTTAAGGGAGGAAGTGGAAATGCTTATGTGAAGAGGCAGCTCTTATGTGATATTAGGAAGCTCGTAAGTGGCTGTTATGTTTAAAATTAATGTTTATGTAATTATTTTCAGATTACATATCCAATATAGGTTTATTCGTTCAAGGCAGTGACATTTGTTCATAACTTTATTGTTAGTAAGCCTGAGAGTTACCGGATCCAAGCAAACAGTTACTGGAACGCACCCTGTCAAAATAAAAGAGTTCCCAGATCCTGTTTTGGCAGGATCCAGTTCAAATTAAGCCCTGGTCATATCGTGCATGCACTCTTTCCCACTGTGATTCGTCCTCTGCAGTCAATAGATCCGGGCTTCAGCCAGATTTGATCAAACCGGGTAAAACTACCTAAAATACAAGATGCATGCCTGTGCAAAGTTTGTTTCTACACCGGCTGTGATACATGCTGGTTCCCGGGCTCTTTACTGACCCTGTCAGCCTCCATGCTGTCTAGGTCTGAAGCCAAACCAGAAAGCACTGTTGCTGTGATGCCACAGAGCCACCTTACTCAGGTCACACTGAGGTTTCCAGACCAGCACCATCAGCAGGGACATTGACACTGCTGCCAAGTTTATTGGTGCCGGATCTGCCACTGTTGGAGTTGCTGGATCTGGTGATGGAATTGGGGCGGAGTGTGGTAGTCTCATCATTGGCTATGCCAGGAACCCATCTGAAGCAGCAGCTGCTCTCACATGTCATCCTGGGATTTGCCCTGTCTGAAGCTATGAGACTCTTCTGTTTGATGGGTTATTTCCTTATTCTGTTTTCTATGTAAAGCTGCCCCTACAACAATTACAGCTGTGACTAAATATTTTCGTGTGGCTACCAGTATTACTCCGTCATGGTGTCATGAAAATGTACATTTTTCAAGTCTTTCAGACGCTGTCAAAAAAAAACAACCCAAATCATGTATTGTAGAAATGAAAGATCTTACACAATTAAAATACATATACCCAGTATTTGACTATAAAAAAAAAAAAAAAAGCCCTGGTCCTAATTCTCCCACAACCATGTGAGAGACTGACCATAAAACACAAAACAATCACTGAGAATTATCACAGCTGAATGATACTACTACTACTACTACTACTACTACTAATAATAATAATAGTAATTAAGAATCTCTTTTAAGCTTAATTTCAAAAACTTGGTAAAGAAATTGAAAGTAAAGCAGGTTTTCTTTGTTTAGAAATAGATCCTGTTTAACTCTGAATGCTAGGAAACACCTTGTAACTACTTTCCTTCCCTCCATTGACTATGGTGACACTATTTACATGAACGCCCCTACAAGCACCCTGTCCGCCTGTTGGACGCTGTTTATCACGGTGTGCTAAGATTCATAACTGGCTGTAACTATCGTCCCCACCACTGCACCCTGTATTCTTTGTTAAAAAGAGGTCTCTCTTGTAAATGAGTCCTCATGACTCAGTGAGACTAACCTGTATAAATAAAGGTTGAATGAATGAATGAATGAGGTGGGCCTCATTTTTCACACACAGCTTTTACATTTTGGTTTGCTTGTTTAGGACACAGGTCCTAATAATAATTAGGACCTATGTCCTAATTATCATTAAGACATAGGTCCTAATAATAATTAGGACCTATGTCCTATAGGACATAGTGGATTTTTTAACCTTAATTTTACCAGGTAAATCCCACTGAGGTCACAAGATACTTTGTCCACAGGAGCCCTGGGCATTTAGGCGTCAAACAGAGAACGCATTATAAAGCATGCAATAAATATGAAATACCATGAGCCAAGTTTTAAACAATGAGACTGGAAGAAGTTGCAAACTCCAGTCAAGTCAGCCTCCATACACTTTACCACTTTCTGAAAGGCTTCAACTGAGAATCAGATGTGGAAGTCGGTGGTTCCAGGCTGCAGGTACAGAGTCTGCTCTGTCTGCCGACTTTAGTGCGAACGATCCGGAACAAGAGGTCATGGAGCACAGACCATAGATGGAGCCTCAGGGAAACACAGCAAGAATCAGTCAATCTTTATTTATACAGCCCTTTACAACAAGGTGATCAAAGTGTTTCACAGATGAACAGTGAACGACGCAGACCACGTGCACAGCTGTGTATGTATGTCACCAGAGTCCAGCAGAGGGAGAAATGTATCCTCAACAATTTTTAAAGCACTAAATGAAAAAGAGTTATTTATTTAAAATACAGGGCTATTAAAACTTATCTAAAATAAAAAGTACTGTAAATTACATTAAAATAACTCCGTACTTGTCCTGTTCCATCGACTGGAATCTGTTGCGTGGATTTCTAGACTAGGCGTTATAATTTCATGTCACACTTGATGCAATAAACTTGTTAAAACCCAGTTTTAATCCCTTTAGAGCTTGTTAAAGAACATATTAATTTTGTCCTGATATTAAAAGTGAATAAGGCTTAACCCCCCCCACCCCCCACCCCCCCACCCATGATTATCACCACAAAGAAATGAGTCAGGTTGGATCTTGTAAATACAGTTGTTGTTTTTTTTTAAACAAAAGTTTGCAAACAGCAAAGTACAGAATATTTCAAGTAGTTGAAATGAAACAAACTTGAAGGTGGGTCAAACACTTGTGTTAGCAGTTAGCATTGAGGCTAGCACCAACTGCAGTAACCATGGTGAAGTCATCCATCCGTGAGTTTTTTTAATGTGAGTCACCTCTTACAGAATCCTGATGGTTATTTCTGTTTTCATTTCTGTTCTCTGCTAAACTAACATCTGTTTTATATTCACTGTGTCAACAAGATCCCGTGTCAGCCTCCACACCTCATACTCTGCAAACAAGACAAATGATCTCTGAGAGAGACAGAGGGACAGCAAGCAAATTAAAACTAAACTCCTAACTACAGAAAGAAGGACGACTTCAGAAAAACACGTAAAACAGATCTAAACCAACAAAAAGAGGTCATATACTGTAAATGATAATAGAAAAATATTTTGGTCAAAAACAATGACAAATTCAATGTTATCAAAAGTTACAACAGAAGAATAAATACAGAAAATATACATAAATATTGTTATAATTTATTACTCTCATTTTTAATCCACAATATTTTATAAAGGGAGTTTTATCTTTCATATGCGTGTTTCTTGTGTGTGTTGTATTTACACAACACTCAAGAACAAAATCATTAACTTTTACTATTATTTTACATAGTAAATTACACTATAACTTACTGACCACAAGGGTTTTATATGACACATGTACTGGAGAACTGCCTCATTTAAATATTGACTACAACACACTTAAAACCAATTCAAAACAAAAAAGTTCTTCATTAACCGTGTCCCTTATCAAATGTTTAAATACTTCCACTGTGAGCAAACCAGCAGAAAGGTTGGATTGTTTCTGCCTTTCGCTTTCTTCTTATCTTGTTTTGATGATTATAAATATCCTGATGCATCCTCAATAATCCAGGTAGAAAAATCTAAAAGAGTTAAATCTGGTCCTCTGGACATTCAAAAAAACCAAAAAAACAAAGCAAAACAAACAAACAAAAAATAATAATTTTGTTTTGTTGTTGGAATGTCCAGATTTAACTTTTTTAGATTATAAATGTCCTTTCCTTCATCCTGAGATGGTCAGACGGGGGGGATGGGGGGCAGATGATGTGGATTTGGTTCCAGTGCGTCACCTCTCCAGCAGCTCCAACTCATTTCAAGACCAAAACAAAGAAACTCTTCTGTCAGGGCTGGAGGTAGAGCTACTGACAGAGAATCAATTAAATGTTGAACTTTCTGCCCAAGTGAAGACGGAACAATAAAAACTTGAAGCTTTAACTTTATTTCTCTTCTTTCGGCTGCTCCCTTCTTCAGGGGTCGCCACAGCGAACTAACTCACACCAAGACTTGACGATTGTTTGTACGCTGGAGGTCCTTCCTGACGCAACCACAGACCACCGAGCTACCACAGCCCTCTGTGTGGAGCAGAGAGCTGCCATCTAGGGCGCCGGGGGAGCAGATGGTGGGGGTTAAGGGCCTTGCTCAAGAGCCCAGAATGGAGCAAATGAGGGTGGAGGCAGGCATGGGTGTTTCACCTTTCCCACCACATTTTGATGTTGTCGGTCTGTGGAGTTGAACCGGCAACCTTCCGATCACAGACTCACCTTCTCCAACTTCTGTACTTCTACTCCCCCCCCCCCCCCCCCCCCCCCCCCCCCAAAAGGAAAAAAATCCATGAAGCGCTGACATTATGTCACACTGAATGCTGGGAGAACATGAGCTCATTGTATCTCAGAGGGAGAATCAGATGTATCTTCCATCTATATTAAAGAGGTGTCTTTGAGTTGGCCCTCAGGCTGTGGAAAAACAAATTAATTCTCAATTTTTTTATACCAATTGTGAACCATCACTAGCACCAGTGCTGGTCTACTAAGGAGAAACACTACAATGGAAAAACCCTAAAAGACATCTTGATCTGCTTGTTCCATAAGCAGTGAGTCCATTAAGATTTAACTGGCACCCAGCTGGAGGTTTTCTCTGTTCTCTGAGCTTGTGATGTGCTTCAGTTTGGCTGAACGCCGCACCGTGCTGCTTCTCACTGTGTGGCGTATCGACGACAGGCGGCTGCGAAAACCCTCGCCGGAAAAGAAGTACAGCAACGGATCAAAGCATGAGTTTGAAGCAGCAAGGCACAGAGTCACCACAACAGACTTGTGCATGAAGCAGGATGTGCCTTCCTTGGATAGGAAGTTTAGATGGATGGTCCGCTGTACATGGTACGGCATGAAGCTGACTAGGAATGTCAGCAGCACAATCACTATCATTCTTATAGCTTTTGTAGCTGAACCCTTTTGTCGTCGAGTAGCAGGAGTGCGCAAAAGCAGGGTACGAACTATGCCAGCATAGCAGATTAAGATGATCAGAAAGGGTAAGACAAAGCCTAATATCAGGCCTACATAGTTCAGCGCCTGTAGTTTTGGCAGATGATTACTTGCATGATTTGGTGGCTCAAAGCATTTGGTTTTATTTGTTGACTGGTCGACATGCTGACCAAGCATCAGAAAGGGGGAGGATGTCAGACCACTAAACAGCCATATACCCAAACAAACGATACGTGCACGGTTCACTGTCACCAGCCGCAGGTTCTGCACAGGGAACACAATTGCCACAAACCGTGTGACCGACATGGCAGTCATGAAGTAAATGCTGCAGTAGAGGTTCACGTAAAGCAAGTAGGAGCTGATACGGCACAGGAAATCCCCCTGCTCCCACTGGCCCTTTCTCACATAATAGAGCACCCTCAGTGGTAGAGTCATGACACACAACAGGTCAGACATCGCTAAGTTCATCATGTAGACATGGAAGGGTGAGCTCTGGCGGTATGTTTTGATCAGCACCCCCAGGGCGAAGCTATTTCCCACAAAACCCAACACAAAGATGAGGGAGTAGGACGTAGAGTAGACTTGGTTACGGAAGTCAATGATGGAGGGACATGAGTCTGTCACGTTCAGGTAATCCATTTTGGCTGACATCTGCTGAAACAGAGAAAATGGGACACGATGAAACACGCAAAAGTCCTGAAAAATGCAAGCACGATAAATTTTGTGTATTTTTTTTTTTATGTGGCTGATTGGTTTGAAGATAACCTATTTTTTTTTGCTGTGCAGACTTCTGAGGAAACACTGAGAGCACATAAAGCATCTCAGCACCTTCATGCGGTCATATGACACAGTTGGTCAGGGCAGTAGGTACAAATGAATAACATTTGTTTTTGCTTGTGGTTATGAAAATTTACAGTGTGGAACGCTGAAAAGTGTAAACTCATTGAACTTTACCCTTTTTCCAAGTTTAAGTATCTTTATATCATTATCATCTGGCTCTATGTTACAATTTTTTTGTTGCCCTCATTTCAGGAATTTAAAATTATCATTGCGGAATTTTAAAGAACACGTCAAAATTATACTAACTATCCCAAACTCAAAGTATGAACCAATCTTTTGTGAACAAGTAATAGAAAACTCAGCCAAAACACATTTTAAATTAACCACTTACTGTCAGGTTGTCATAATGACTCATACGTTGTCTGCTCCAACATAAACTGACAATACTAGAATTTTTTTGAAATGCCTAAATAAATGTGACCAAAACTCATTCCGACCAGGCTAACAAAGACGCTAATGACCCTTGGGGGTGAGAAGAGTGAGTGATTTGCATATGAGTTCAGGTTGCAAAAACAAAGCAACTATAGACTATAAGAACTCTAGACTATAACAAGTATGTACTTTAAGAACTATAGACCATAAGAAATATAGACTATAACTAGTATAGACTACAACTATGTACTATAAGAACTATAGACCATAAGAAAAATAGACTATAACAGCTATAGACTATAACAACTATTGATTATAACAACTATTTACTTTAAGAACTATAGACCATAAGAACTATAGACTATAACAACTATAGACTACAACTATGTACTATAAGAACTATAGAAAATAAGAACTATCAACTGTAACAACTGGGCAGCACGGTGGCGCAACTGGTAGAGCTGCTGCCTCTCAGCGAGCATGTCCTTGGTTCAAACCCCGGTCCAGGGGCCTCTCTGGGTGGAGTTTGCATGTTCTCTCCGTGCATGCGTGGGTTTTCTCCGGGTGCTCCGGTTTCCTCCCACAGACCAAAAACATGCGTGTTAGGCTGATTGGTAACTCTAAATTGTCCCTAGGTGTGAATGAGAGAGTGAATGGTTGTTTGTCTCGTTTGTCTCTATGTGTCCCTGTGATGGACTTGCGACCCGTCCAGGGTGTACCCCGCCCCTCGCACAGTGATTGCTGGACATGGGCACCAGCGACCCCCGTGACCCAAAATGGAATAAGCGGGTAAAGATAATGGATGGATGGATGGATGAACTGTAACAACTCTAGACTATAACAACTATGTACTTTAAGAACTATAGACCATAAGAACTATAGACTATAACAA